GGGGGGGGGGGGGGGGGCGATAGGATACTGAAGGAGAAGGGTCCCGACGGGAAGCTGCGGTCGTACGCGGCCTACGACACCCAGTTCATGTGCGACGGCAGCGTCGACGCCGACATCCCCGCCAACGCACTCTCTGAAATGTGGGGCGTCCAGTGGATCATCACAGTGCAGGTGTACCCAATACACCCACACCCACACCCACACCCACGCCAACCACCCCACACACCAAGTGCGTTCACCTTTCCCTCTGTCTGTCTGTCTGTCTGTGTGTGCGTGTGGTTCAGGTGAATCTGCACGTCTTTCCGTGGCAGGCGTTCCGCAACCGTGGGAGTGCGGGTGCGCCGCTGACGTGGCGCCACGGCGGGGGCAAGTGGCGGGGCGGCTTCGTGCTGTCGGCCTTTGAGGTGCTACTCAAGGAGCACATGCGACTCTGCATCAGGTGGGTCGCTGGATGCGTGGGTCGGCAGACAGAGAGAGGGAGGATGTGTGTGTGTGTGTGTGTGTGTGGTGCTCACCTGCCCATCCATCCATCTCGATGTGTGTGTGTGTGTGTGTGTGTGTTAGGTTGATGGCGCTGCTGGATGTGTTCCCGCACTTCTTCGACATCAACTGGGGGCGGGTCTTCCTGCAGGTAGGTACCTAGGTGGGTGGGTGGTTGATGGGACATAGATGTGCATGTAAGTAATCATCGGTGTTGGCGGTGTGGCTGATTGATGCCATCGATCATATCAATCAGGACTACCAGGGCAGCAGCAACGTGATCATGACGCCCCGCCGTCTGTTCCTCAACCACTTCCTCCTCATCGGAAAGGACCTCACGCTACCAGAGGTCAAATGGTCAGTCAGCAAAACCACAGAAACACTCACGCAGCGCAGCCACACAGCCGTGTGGCCACCGCACCGCGTGTGTGTGTGTGTGTGTGTGTGCAGGTATATGTCAGAAGGCCTCCTGATGGTGTGGCCGAAAATCCCGATGATCACCTCCCGCATGAGAATCGAGAAGGCCCTCACGGGCATCGAGCTCGCTCTCAATCCCAACGCCCTCTTCGTGCAGTACGGCCTCTCCACAGACATCACCGACGAGAGCGAGAGCAGGGCCGCCAACATGGACCGCACACACGGCAGCGGCAGCAGCAGCAGAAACAACGCCTACAATGCCTACAATGGCAGCGACGACTCGACGGGGGCGTTCGATGCCGCTGCCGGGGCGAGTGACGGTGCTGAGAAGAATGGGGGCCCTTCTATCGTGGCGAGTGGTCAGCACAGGAAGAAGGACAGCAGAGAGGGCGGCCAGAGGGAGAGGGCGCACACTCACACCCATAGTGAGATGCCGAATGGGCCGGTGGGGTGAAATTAAGAGACAGATTCGTAGAGAGAGATGCGAGAGAGAGGTGGCGTGGCGTGGCGAGAGGGGTCGGGGTGGTGCGGGGTGTGTACATAAATACATCACACACACATACACATGGATGGATGGATGGATCGATGGATTGGATCGTCATACATTCAGTCAAGCAACACATTGATTGCATAGAGTGAGTGGCTCATTTATGTAATATGTGTCGCGTTTGTGTGTGTATGTGTGTGTGATGAACACAGTACGTACGTGTCGGTGCATTTAAACATGATGATAAAAAAAAATTCACCCCAACCAACAAAGGACTGAGATGACTCAACGGCACCTACACAAACACCGTGAGATCACCAGCAGACTCTTTTCCCTGCGCTTACATGAAGGTAAAAGGGGAGGGAGCGTGGCGCAGGACTCGTAGCAGACGTCGCAATTCATCCAAAGTGATTGGGGCTCACTGCGGCTGAGTGCTTGGCTTCCGACGAGTCCTGTGAGCCCACAGAAGGGGTCTTTCCAGCCCTCCTCCCAACTTGCGAGTTGATCGATGCGAGCTGGAGAGAGGGGGGAGAATTCCCGCGGTTAAAGGGTTGGTGCGCCAGTGGAGGCACAGTGAGTCCTGCTGATCCACTGGTGGTATTTTACGCCAGTGATCCATCAACGGCGTATATTCATCGCTATCGCCGCATAGCGGCTTCTCGTCCTGACGGTGAGTCAAGATGCGGCGATTGGTTGCATTCACAAGCACACCATGATGATCTATTCGCTGTCTGGTGTGTTGAAGGTGGTCTTCAGGTCTGCCTTGTCGACCGGGCGGACTGTTTGATTGAGCGACAGTGTGGATGGGTATGCAGCTAGCCGTCGACTCATAACTGACAGGTCAGCACTAATTGATGCACACAACACATGCACCAGATGCCTGCCCATCTCTTTGTGTGTGTGTGTGGTCCATGGTGCAGCTGAGTGTGGGTGAGAGTGATGTCGTCTGGTCGTCACGACACCGACATGGCCTCCGCTGGCCCGGCGGACGGTGGCGATGGCGACGAAGGTACACTCAATTCAGACAAATTGCAGCACATCACACACACAGCATCATCGCCAAGCATTACGCGTGTGGATGTGTGTGTTCCTTTGCAGACGATGTAGCCGAGGAGGAACAGCGTGACGGCAGCGCACAACCAGACGGACCAGATCCCAGTGCTGTTGATAGTGGTGAGTGACCATCATACCACACACACGAGCGAGCAGCACACTCCCCCGATGGGTGCCTCACTAGGCTCTTTGTGCCTCTGTGCAGGTGGAGGTGTTGGCAGTATTGGCGAGCGTAGAGGAGTTGGCTTTGGTCGGGCTGGTGTTGGCGGGCAGCAGGGCAGCGGGCAGAGCCGGAGTCAACAGAATGGAGGTACACCGACCGACACACAAATCAGTATCGCCTTTCATTGATCATCGTTGACAATCTGTGCAGCCACAGGTCCGTCGCTACCTCCTCGCTGGAAGAGCTACGGGAACGGCATCGACCTCGCCTTCCCTCCTGGCACCAGTGAAGCAAGCAGACGGCTGTTTGGCATCATAGAGCGCACCATCACTGGCGAAGAGCATATGACGCAGCTCATCCAGCAGCAGGGAGCCGACCCCAATGTGATGCAGGCGCTGCGGGCGGCGGGCACCACGGGCGGCTATTTCGCCTTTCCTTTGCTGTCGCTGTGCATCGACAACCTCACGGACAACAGCGTGCCTTCCCTCTGGGCAGCTAATTGCGAGGATGTTGAGACTATGACTTCCGTCGCCTTGTCGACGTGGCGGACCCGCGACCTACAGCTCGCCGTCATGCGCACCCTGATCGAGAGCGGTGCCGATATCAACGCGGGCACAAATACCACCTCTTTGCCCATCCGCGTGGCCATCGCCTCGTGCAACCCGGAGGCATTCGACCTCCTGATGGGCCAGCCAGGTGAACACCCATTCACAGCATTCACGACACGTAAACTCACAGCATGATGTTCGTCGGGACGTCTGTCTGCCTCTGTGTCTGTCCCAGGTATCCAGCTGCGGGGGCGTCGGGTGCTGGCGCTGCCGCGCACATTGCCGACGGACCAGCCGACTGAGGAAAGCGAGCGCACCCTGCTGTCCTTCTACCGGCAGCTCATCCAGCGGGACACCACACTCGCAGCCGAGCGGGACCTGGATGGCAAGAATCCGATGCATTGGGCAGCCTGCAGACATCCCGTCTGGTCCCAGCAGTTCATCGAGAGCTACATCGACCTGCTGGTGGCCAATGGGGCGGACGTCACGGCCGTGGACAAACTGGGGTTGTCACCATTGCATTTCGCGGCCTTCAATGGTTCCCGCTGTGTGGCTGCCTCTCTCTGCCGCCGCCTCGCCGCTGCCGACATCAACAGAGGGCTCCCGAATGACCGCACCAGCACACCCCTCACCGTCGCTGCCATACGGCTCCATTTGGACACCCAACAGCTGCAGGACGACACCACGGGGCGGGCCGAGAGGGACCGCCTCACCGTCCGGATCCCCCACGTCAAGACCACCATCCGTGTGCTCTTCCAGGCGGGCGCTGACATCGCCCTCATGCTCACAGCCACAGAGTGGCACCGCGGCGGTCGCCAGCTGGTGCTGCCCGAGTACGCGACAGTGCTCAACGACCTGCCGGATGACGTCATGGCTGCCATCAACGCCGCCCTCGCCCCTCAGCGGTCGCTCGCAGCCTTGCTCGGCCCCCGGCTGGTCGTCGGCCCGCAGGAGGCCCCCATCTTCGCCTGGCGCATCGCATCATACCTCTTCGACATGGAGGCCGCCATCCAGACCATCACTGACAAATTCCCCTTCCGGCACTCCGCCATGGCCCGGCGTGTGCGTGCGGCTGTCGAGCATTCCGTCCGCTCGTCAGTGTACGAGGCCAGCAGCAACAGGGAGGTGGTGGGCGGGATGGCCAATGTGGGCGGCGAGATGGTGCGGGTGCCGCTGCAGTGCTTCGCCATCAATGCGGGACAGCAGGGGGGCGGGCAGCACCAGCTGCTGGGTGTGCGTGAGGTGGTGCACAGGGCTCGGCTGGACGAGGCGGCCCAGCATGGCGTGACGGGAGTTGTCAAGGGCTTCAACGAGCACTTGGGCAATGACGACTGCCAGTTCCAGTGGCAGCAGCTGGGGTGCGTCGAGAGGGGCCGGGACGGCGGAGCGACCTTCAGACCGCTGCAGCTGACGTGAGATGTGTGAGCGAGGCACGTAGCCACATGGATGGATGGATGGATGGATGAGGGTGAGGGGCAGGCAGACGGGCGGGCAGGTTTTGATGTGCGCATGACCAGGTTGGTGTCGCTGCCTCACTCGCTGCTTCTCCGGTGTGGGTGGACGGCCAAATGGGAGGCAGGCAGGCCAGCAGATGGACAGACAGGCACTGGTGAGTCGGTGCGATTCATTCTCATGATGTGTTCACCCAGTGGCACTCATCTAGTCGGGTGTCACCGATGTGAATGCGATGGTGGATGGCTCACCTGCTGCCTCCCTGCCTCCCTGCCTATGTGCCAGGTGCCTGGCTGCCTGGCTGCCGTGTGTGAATAGCTACAGACGGGTGACTGACTAGCTCTGTGACCGTCGTGATGTGTGGGTGGGTGCTGCTGGATGGATGGATGTGTGTGTGTGTGTGTGGCGACTGACTGACAGACTGACTGACTGACTGAATGACATTGAAAGCGATCGATTGGTGGTCCGCACGCACAAGAGAAACTAGAAAATATCTTGAAGAGATGAAAACCCGTTTCTTGCCAAACACCTACCTAATCCACCCAGCCATGCCACTGGAAACACCTCAATCGGCTGTGAGAAGGGCTGATTGCATTGCTTGAACACAGACAGACAGAGACGTACTGCTGTGCCGCCGCTTGACGGGTTTCTGTGTATGTGTGTGTGTGTCCAGTGACCGATGGATGGGCCGTGTGACCAAGAGACAGCATGCAGAGCAGATTGAGTGGTCGATCGTGCTGCTCCATTTGATCATATCCATCCATCCATACATGTCACGCCACCGCACGAGGACAAAGAAGTCAACGAACCACACACGCAATTAACGTCTCAGTCAGCTACACAGCCACACGCAGCCATGTTGCCGGCCTTATACGGGTACGCTCACACGCCTCTGCTCGTCGATTGTAGGCAGGCTGTATGTGTGTGTCAGGCACATGCCAAGGAGAGCCAGCAGCATGGACGTGTCAATTTGCTCTCTGGGTGCATGTGTGTGTTGGGGGGGGGGGGGG